GTGTGTGTGTGTGTATTTTTATAAATAAACTTATACACACACACACACACACACACACACACACACATATTGTATGCAACATAAAGAGTTTTGCTCCACTGAACCTGTGAGGGTCGAAGTGTGTGTGCTGTGGCTGTGACTGATAAGCATGTTGGTGTGAAGATAAGCAGACGCCGCTCTCAAAACCAAACACCGGGGCAGAGCAGACTGATTGTGAAAATAAATCATCGCTAAAATCAGATGTTCATTGACTAAAACTAGACCAGAGTCACGACACCGGTGTCTGAAACTACATCACACTTTTATCAAAAGGCTAATAGTGAATCACACTATACACACCAGTTCCTGACTCAATAACACTGCTGTGTGCTGGACACTGTACATTTATGTACCAGTGCACACACACACACACACACACTGATTTAATTATTTTCAAACAAAAATATCATAGATAAAATATCATTAACAAAAATGGGATGAAGCATAATCTTCTTATTTTCCCACATCATTACCACATACATCCTTTGTTTATTACTTAAACTTATTTATTCTTTTACTGATCTCTTCTTTTTACATGAAACATATTTTATACTTTTGGCATCTTTGACAAATAATATGTTTGATTCCATTTGTACCTTTTCATTTTGTAACTTATAGACCCAAAGAAAAAAAAAACCCAAAGTACTGCAAATAGAAAAAAATACAAATAAAACAACAACAACAACAACAATAACAACAACAACAACATAGTACTGCAAATAGAAAAAAATAAAAATAAAACAACAACAACAACAACAACAACAGCAACAACAACAACAACAGCAACAGCAACAACAACAACAACAGCAACAACAACAACAACAGCAACAGCAACAACAACAGCAACAACAACAGCAACAACAACAACAACAGCAACAGCAACAACAACAGCAACAACAACAACAAAAACATAGTACTGCAAATAGCCATTGATTAAAATGTCACCATCCCTTTCTCTTTTTATCCTTTTTCAATCACCTTCATCATTATATTCCTCTATTAATATATTTATTTATACAGTTTTCTAAATTGATTAATATCCTGACGTTGTTTTAGAGTCTGATCTAGACTGTTCCATAGTTTTACCCCACAGGCAGGCAGGCAGACACAAGCTTTTTAAAGTTGTTCTTGTTTTCATCCTCCTAAAATGTAGTTCTTCTCTCAGATTATTTCCCCCTTGTCGTTCTTAAAAAAACTTTTGTAAACATTTCAGAAGTAATTTATTCCTAGCTTTAAACATGAACTGTGCTGTTTTTAATTTAACCAAGTCATTGAACTTATGCATCTTGAATTTAAAAAATAAAGGATCATTTGCTGCAACACCCCACATGTTCTATTAGTCTAATGACTTTTTCTGTAATGTACATACAGATCATAAATTAGATTTATACATATTCCCCCAAATTTCAACACAATGACTCATACTGTATATGGCAACTGAAGCGTGTTATATCATATATACACTGATTTATTGTCCAGGATAAATCTTGCTTTATTCTCTACTGATGCTGTTTTGATTAATTTTGATTTCACTTTATTTATTTGCGGTTTCCAACTAATTTCATGATCCAATACAACACCAAGAAACTTAATTGCATACACTCTTACTATAACTTCAATATTAATGTGTAAATCTATATTTTAACTACTTTTTAATTTCCCAAATAACATAACCTTTGATTTACTTATATTTAATGACAATTTGTTCACGTCAAACCATAATTTCAATTCATTAATTTCTGAAGTTTTTCAAAGTTTTGGTAAATTATGCCCAGAACAGTAAATGCTTGTATCATCTGCAAATAAAATAAACTTAAACAACTCTGATATCTTACACATATCATTAATGTAAATTATAAACAATGTTGGACCTAAAACTGACCCCTGTGGTATGCCACACTTTACACTCAGATATGATGATTTATGGTGGCCAATTTCCACAAACTGGTGAATATTTGTTAAATAACTGCTTATCCAGTCCAAGGCTACTCCTCTGATGCCATACCTTTCTAAATTAATTACCAATGTATTATGATTTATTGTATCAAAGGTCTTCTTTAAATCTATAAAAATTCCAACTTCGTTCACTTTTTTAATCTATCTTATTTGTAATTTCCTCAATAATTTCTGTTAATGTCAGAGATGTTGATCTGTTTTTCCTGAAACCATATTGTTCAGGAGAACCAAACATATATGAAAAATGTTTCTATAAACCAGTAATCGCTACAGTATAGTCATGCAAATATTTAGATACACATATATTTCATGCTTATGAACGCTTCTTTTGGATGTGAAAACACTTATAGGAGACACTGTGAGAAATGCAGCCGCTCTGGTGAACATCATCAGGGAAATATTAGATAAAGAATCGATAATTCACCACAGTAATAATAATAATAATAATAATAATAATAATAAAGTGTGTGTACATGTATATGCGTGTGTGTGTGTGTGTGTGTGTGTGTGTGTGTGTGTGTGTGTGTGTGTGTGTGTGTGTGTGTGTGTGTGTGTGTGTGTGTGTCTGTTTGTGTGT